CTCGATCTTTAATCAAACAGCATATACTCTTACAATGTTACAGCATTATTAGAATGAAATAGCAACCACCAATACTATGTAGAAGGGGGAAAGAGACAAAACTCCGTCAAGCCTCATTACGTAGCAGTAGGCAGTAATAAAAGTAGAGAGATTGGGATCATGTATAAGGTTACGGGAGAAGGGTGATCTAGCATTCGTCACGTACGTCTCCGTTGTGCACGTCTTATATTGATAATAAACTGATTGCCACTTTCACCTCCTCCTTGGTGTTGATGGGTGGTTCTTGCTGCTTCATTTCCAGTGCCTCCCTGATATTTCTTTCAAATGTCTACTACATTTCTGGGTAAGATGGAGATGCGAAGCTTCGGCGGTATTTCTTGAGCGTGTCTTAGTATGCGGTGCCTCGAGAATGGGTTCTCCGGGATAGCTCTGAGGGTGCTCGTCAAACTCGTAAGGGTTCCTGGCATTTCTTGTGCAAGTGGCTCGAGTTTCTCCTTTTGTAAACTCGTGACATGAAAAGCATACTACATCTTGTACACCACACATTTTTCTTGACACACCTTATGTTCTCCACATATCATACAGTTAGCTCTTTCACATCGACTCTCATACGGACGCGATGATGTTAAAAGTCGTCGCAAATTAGGTGGTCGAAATACCAGGCTTATAGGGAGCCGTGACCTTTTCACGACGTGTTTACCATCAATAGCGAACAAGTCGCTGATGAAAGGTAACACGAGTGGAGTGCCATGCCTCCAGCATCAAAGCTGCCCGCACGATGTTATTCAGTTATGTCTCCATTTGTTCATGATTCGTGGAGGTCAGCTCATGTGATGTCGTAATCATATGGCGGAGGCGGACTACGTTCACTTTCATGTAAAGAGGATGGCCTTCTAGCGTGAATTGGGATGTTCTGGGATGCCAACTTCTTATAGTGTTGATCTGACCTTCCGAGATCTTGATTTTGTATTTAGAAATGGGAGAAAACCATCCGAGGAAGGGCGTTGCTGTTGTCCCAAGCAAGGTACGTTCACCAGTAAGAACATAGACTCTCTGGAAGGAACTCTGAAAAATGAACAAGTTGCCATTCAGACGTAAGTTGTGGCTGACATTTGGTCCAGTGGTGATCAATGGTTCATCAGTGCGGATAATTGTGGGCGTTATTGGTGGGGGTTCTGATTGACACATTAAACCTTCCTCGAACACTCTTCATTGGATGCCATATGGGACTTTTCAAGAATTACGGTTGTTCTTGGTGTTAAGCGTGTTTTTCACAAGCCTAGCGGATTTATCGAGCCCTGTGCCTCTAAGATGCGCGCAGGAGTGCTTGGCAGTCAGCCTGCTGATGTAAGGAAGTGAAAGTCACGCTTATCACTGCTCGCTAGTCTCGCAATAATTTCCATCTTTTTTCCGTCCTAGATTATGATCAACACTTTAGGATGATGTATGCCATGCTCGAAATGTTCACGATGTTCCAGTGGAATCGTGTAGCAATCTACTACACTCCGAATGAAGTGCAGTACTGTGACACAATAATGGACAATCTCGGCGTGCGTTATAGAGAACGAAGTAGCCTGCAGTTTCAATTACCGACCTAACTTTTCCAGACGGCGTTCAGTGACGATTCCACATACGCGGTGGATGTCGTACAGAAAGTTTCATGGGATGGCCAGGCGAGTGACTACCTGGCTGATCAGTTGCTGCTTCACCAAGCGATCTGCAAGAAGTGAGTGCTTATGCGATAGATAGCGAGTACTTTTCACAAGACAATTTCGAGCGAGGTATGAGGTTGATAAAAAGTCCTACAACCCTTTGAACCAATTGTGCTAGAAAATCAAAATATATTTTGGCCTTATCCCAGATTAGTGCCTAGCGTTCTCGGAGGTTTTGCAGACTACATGTCTTGACTTTGCGGAAGCTCTCAGAGCATAAGTTAATGGCCATTCAGTCGTTGTTGAGGGGTCTAAAACCACATCGTCTCGCTGTCGCTTGAACGCTGTGTTGATACTGAGGCTAGGGAATAAGAGATACCTTATCCGCAGGTAGGCACATATACGGAGGGAGGGGTGTCGATGTGTTATAACTTACACTTTATTGAATTCTAATTGGACATCCCACCATCATATTCAACGACACATTGTACACAGCCTTCTGGACGAGCGCCATCGAGAGATTCTGCCACGCGACCGTGATTCGGTGCCTGAGTTCAGCGAGGTCGTTGATTTCTCCGCCACTGTAGACCACCCTGTTGAGCTCCGCCCGAACCCGGTAATCGAGGGGATTCAGGTCAGGTGACACACTTAGATATTCCGTGTTCTTTCAACTCTGAACCCCCTTCATTCCAAGTAGGTGAGAGTTTTTCCAACTGCTTTCGATTCCATGTGGTGACACCCAATCCTGTAGCAGTACAAACGAAGATGGTACAGGCGACGACATGAAGGCAGGATGTGCTCCTCGGATTGGTCGATGTACCCGTTAGCGGGCACTTCCAGTCCGAGTTCCACGAAGGGAATATCGTTCTCTCAATTCCACGAACTCCGTTCATACCATCAACTCGCGCCTTGGCGACCACGGTGAAGATGATGTCCTGGACCGTAGCGACGTTGTCGGAGCTGCTCGATGTTGGAGGTCTTCCAGATCGAGAGTACTGGTCTCCAGGTAGCTGTCCATGGGTGACTCCATACAAGAAGTTTCGCAGCTGTTTGGAGGTGACATGAATTAGGCGGCTAGGCCGCATCATGTATGGGTCAAGGAGCAACTGGATGGAAAATCTGGACTGCGCGCATTAACTGCTTAGGATGTTACAGGGTGCGGGACCCCACAATGGACACGATTTTGGAATCACAGTAGAGGTCTTAGAAAGCGAGGACCAATTTTCCGCACGAAAAACTTTTGAGAAGCATTCTGTACTCGGGTCAGGAACCCAAGAATGCCGGGGAGAGTGCTTATCAATCACGCGAGAGCTATCTCCCTGAATAAGATCAGCATTTTGACCAAGTTCTGGATAGGCTCAATTTGAAACTTCCATCACCGGGAAGCTCGTCGTTTGATCCGATGGATCCAGTTGAATTATGTTTGGTGTTTCCCTTGTATGACATGGACATAGGTAGAAAGGGTAAGCGCATTTGATGCTGGTTCAGATATCATCATTGATCTTGACTCTTTCGGGCTCCAAAGAAGGCGAACCAGGGCACATCATTGGTTGGAGGATGTAGTAGTCCGTACGCCCCTCCCTTTTTTTGGGGGGTGGGTTGGTACGATCCCCCCCCACCATCCTCATCGAATCGAGCCGTCGAGAAGGGGGGAGGGTAAATAGAACATGTGAAACAGGAAAAGCCGCGAGACAATACGACCCCCCTCCCTTCTACCAATTCTCAGATTTTCCCCAACTTCTGCCACTTTTCCCACAATTTCGCGAAAATTACCTATTTTCAAAACAAACTGCTGTCGATGTGGGAGGGGTATATAGTAAGCATGAAACAGGAAAATCAAAAAAAGTCAACCACCGTTCCTACGACGCAAGAACGTAAATACGACCTTCCTCCCCTTTCTCCGAGCAACGACCAAGTACGGTCTTCCCTCCAGGGCACGCCATCGCGTCGTAATCATTTTCCGCTAAATACGTACGCCCTCCCCCTAAATAAGGGTCTTAATACGACCCCCCCTCTGCGAGGGTAGAAACGAAAAGAAGAGGGGAAAGGAGGAAAGAAAAGGGATGAAGATGACAATAAAGAGAACTAGGCACATTTAGACTATCTACAACAGACTCGTAAAAATTTCGCCGAAACTTTGTCTATAGATGATATTCGATGTCCGGTATCCTGACCACAAGTATGACATCATTTCTCCATACCAGCGCTATTTAGCGCTCTGCTGAGGTTGAAACTGGGACAAGGAAGATTCCTCTCAGGCCAGGCTCGGTCTTAGCAAAGCGCAGATTACCACAGTGTCGTACATTAACGCCGGCGCCAAGAATAATTGCCATGTTCATAGTCAGGATTCAAAACGCCGATAAGTTTCAATTTCGCGATTTTGTGAATAGGGGCTAAATCATCAAAATCGACGAGTTTCGGGCGAAGCGGAAGTGATATTCGTGTTCAGGAGGTCGAAGTACTACTATAAGCAAACTTTCAGCCCAATCTGCCCTTTTAAAGAAAAGTCGATAAAAAAGCAGCCTGATTCCGGCAGGCTGGGGTAGGAATAGTTCGATAGCGCCGGAAACCAGAACCAGAAGCTAGAAACTAATAAGAAAAACTAAAAAAGAAAATCAACAAAACACTGGAAACGAAAAACAAGGAAAAAACTCACCATGAGACATGGAAGCCAGAACTAGTAAATAGCATTTGAATATTCAATTTCGCGGTCATCCGCCTAATACAAATACATTCGCCTAATATGGCGTGATATTAATTTATGACGTCGTTGTGGGAGGCCATCGTATTTCCCTGTCATCGCCCGTTCCCCACTTCTGCGCTGGCAGGTTGCTTCTGTCTTGTGTGGGTCTCTTCAGAGGTTCTTCACATGGATAAGTCTTTCATCATTGAAGCTGAACGACATCTGGGTATCGCTGCACCCTCACTTCAGAAAGGTCCCCGCGCTTACGACCCCTCGAGGTCAAATACGACCCCCTGTTGTGATCATCACACGATGGCTGCCTGTCCCCCCTCCTTTTATAAGGTCCGTGAAGCGAGAGAAACCAACCATCAAAACAAATTTTCCTAGCCCAAGTACAACCCAAGTACGACCCCCTCTCCTGGCGGCCAAATACGACCCCCCCACTTAGGGATTCTCCGACAACGATGTGCCCTGAGGCAAATTTGCCGAAACATCAGCCGATAAAAAGTTCATAGATAGCTAGTCAAACAGTTTGAGAGACATTACTATAAAAGCAGTGATCAAACATGGTGCCCACTGAGTCGGATTGGAGCCTATTGAACCTGCTTATTCATATAAATTCATGCCAGAAAGAGGAAGTTGGCAGATACCGTGGAAGGCTCCCACTTTTTGACGAACATCATATCCAGTTGACGGAGAAGCTTCTAGTAGTGGTGGATGTCTACAGCATCGCCGTAGAAGTGGGCGCTGCATGCGAGCTACAATCGCAAGGTCCGAATTCCCATCTCTGAGTCGTTTGAAGCAACTTTGAACCGTCCAATGGATCATCTTTCGCTAATCACATACTTGTCACTGGAATTAGCATGGACCTAGGTGTTCAGGAGCCTGAGTGTTCAGCATCCACCAGTGGTACAAATATCCCTATCTTGAACGTAATACAGAGCACCTCTCACACTGCTAAAGGTAGCGTAATTGATTGCTAGCCAACATAGTTTGTCACATGCCCTTAACATTGATTGAATTGATATGACAGAAACTACAAATGAAAACGACAAGTTACAAATTACAGTTGTTGCGATATGCTCGATAAGTTCGCAGTTTCTGCGCAATTTTATGAAAACTGCGTCACTTATGGATATGATTTCGGAAGAATATGTATACGTGTTGGTAGCCATGCGAGGCCTCGCATTTGGTGTGTTCTTCCTGTTTCTTTTCCCTTTTTCCGTCTGCTCAATCAAATTTTGGGTCAATAATCAATTTTATCGTTTAGGTCAGCCAGCGAAGGGATTAGGGCAACGTGAGTTTTTATTGTGGTTTCGTCTTTTTTTCCTACTTTCTGAAATCAGTCGGATTGCTCAGTTGAATCCCAACTCCCTTCTTTTACCTTCTTTTACTGCAACCCCCGAGGCACCCTGGCTTCGCCGAGCACTGTTCCTTCGAATGAATAAAAATGACTTGCTGACAGGGCCGTTTCTTCCATTACAACGTTTTTTCTAATATCACGGAAGAAAATGCCCTGCCTTAGCTGATCAATATAAGTGGTCCTTGCATAAGATGGACCCATAAAAAGAAACAACTATGCTTGACAGATGTGCATTAAAAAGTTGAAAGGTTATAACAAGTATAAAAATGTCTCCTCGTCGCTCTAGAAGGAGAACGGCTTGTAAGCTACGATTACAGCGGAATGATGGAAGTTCCTTCTGACATTACATCAAAAGTAGTAGCGAGTTTGTTCCAGGCTGGGTGACACTGGAGTAGCCATAATGCAAGGCTCATCACTTTTTTGTGAACATCTGATGCAAGCAGTTGAGCGGCCGTATAACTTTTGATTTGACATTGCTCATGGCCGCAATGCATCGCCGAATCATTTCAAAACTTCTCATGCGTACCTCACCGAAAATATCCTACCACCTTTCAATCGATTAGAAGGTGGGTATCCACCGTAACATAGGATGGGTTTTGGCAACATAAGAACTTGAAAGCAATTAATCGCATGAAACACCGCCTGGGGACGAAATCATGACACACCATGTGTGTCACAAGGTCCGGAAGGTCTTAGAGACAGCGTCCGCGATCGGCTTCCGCAGGTTATAGAACCGATCCAAGAGATCATGTGTACGGGGGTGGTGATCAGCGAGATAAATCGTTGAAAAAGCCACGAATAAGACCCCCATGTGTGGGACTAAAAATGGACGAATTAAGCTTCAAGCGAACTCTGCACGAGTTCGGAATCTAGCCGCCGCCTCCCTGCTAATCATTCTCCTAAGAGTTTAATAAGATTTTGTTCTCCTGAGCGCAGACTTGGCCAAAGATCAGCTTCAGAAAGAGTTTGACATCCTCAACACGACCATGACGTCCACTGAGCGACACAGACCCCGTGCTACAGGCGACGGCA